TAGCGGTCGCGATGTAACGGTCACAGACAAATATTTGTATAAATCGGCTAAACCGACTGAATCATGGAGAAATGTGATGGTATCTGACCTTTGAAAAAAGGTTACTAACCGAATGATATATCGCGTATAGACCGATATAACGAATTATGATTTTCGATGACCGTATCATTAGACAAGGAGCTCGTCGAATCTGAGTCTGAGACTGAAGGGAATTTCAAGCATGTCCCCATTGGTGAGTGGCCGACCAATTGAGCCGATTTAACACCCACCTCAACTTTTTGAATTTTACTTGAAAATATAAATTTTTGCAATTATTTTTTTTTCCTAGAAATAAAAATAAAATTGAAATGAAGAAATGCCCACCTCAAGTTTTTGAACAAATTCTTTGGCGTTTGGGGCAGAGAGGAAGATGTGACGTTGAGAGGCCTTGATGAAGCCATCATCTACAGTTTGTCAATAGAAGTGAGGAGGTAGTTCTAGGAACCATCAAGACTAAGCAAATCCACTTGCCAAATTTCAGGGGAAAAAAAATCATGATATATATCAGACACACAAATTATATTAGTACGGGGTATGAGATTGATTTGAATCTCATTATTGTAATACCCCGATATTGTAAAAAGGATTTATTAATTAAATTAATTTATATTATATTATTATTATTATTTTTAAGTGATTTGTTTTAGTTAATTAGGTGCTTGATAGTTGTGATTTGTTTTATTTAATTAAGTGCGTAGGTAAATTGTATTGTTTTAATTAAATTATATATTTTGTAATTTTATTTGTTAAATTTATACGGTGTTTGATTTGTGGAATGCTAGTTAGTGAAGTGTTTATTTGATTTGCGTGATTTTGTGTTGGTGTACCTTTATTGTTAATTATTGGTAGCTATAAAATTTAATTTCATTATTTTAGGTATTTAAGTTATTTGTATTGGGATTAAAGGAAGTTGGACCAACGGATGTGGTATTGGGCTTGAAGGAAGCCTTGTTGGGTTAATTGGTAAAGGCCCGTGGTTGTGAGGATATTTAATAATTATCTTTGCATAATTATACCTATATAATTACATGTGTATATTAATTCATTATTAAATCATGTGGAGGGGTATATATGTCAATATAATTATATATTGATATATATAGGTATATATAATTTATTTAACTAATGGTTATATATGGAAGGTAATATATATATGTTTATAGTAAAATATATGTATGTATATATATTATTTAAAAGATAAATATTATTTATTTTATATGATAATCCTAATGGGAAAAGGATTTAGTTTTTGTATGTATATAAATAGACACATAAGACTCTAGGGTTAGGAGTTTTTCCACGTTAGAAAAATAAGAGAATTAGAGAGAGAAGAAGAAGGGCTAACGAAGAGGAGGCCGGATCAAAGAACGTAAGAGGAGACCGGATTTGGAAAAGAAAAGGCGAGTTCTTCTCTACTTCTCCTCTTAGAACTCATAAGCGTATCACCTTAATTATCGAAATTTTAATTTTAACTTATTAAATCAAATTGTTAATCAGTGTAGATCAGCATGTTTATTCTTTACAAAATTATAAATTTAAGCATGTGAATATATGTATGAATTGTTCTGAATATTTAAATATTGTATGTGGGGTTAGGTTAATTAAATTTTATTTCTGAAATTTTTTATAGTTTGCTTTAACCTTGTGTGGTATGATGAATTAAATTAAATAGATCTTAATTTAATTATATATGTTTAATTATGCCCAAAATAATAAATAAAGCTTTTGGGATTTTTCTAGGATTTTCTGGAAATTTTCTAGAATTAATTTATATTTTGAATGTTATTTTAGAAATTGTTTTATTATATACTGTTATATATATATAAATATTTGTAGTATAAACAACATACTGGGGTTGGATTTGCAAATCGGTGCATCATCAAAGGCGTAAAATCCAGTGTGTCGCGGTCCATGGTAGTATGGTGAGCCGCAGATCAGCACCATGGATGCTGCTCGATCTAAGGAAGATGAATCCAGTGTGTACGACATATTATAAGGTTGTGTGAAAACTAATCCAGTGGCTGAGAAGAGTTGATGGAAGGGCGGTTGATTCAGTGCTTCGCGGCACATGATGGGCTGGTACACGTTAGCATCTGGACCATAGATATGGTCCAGCCAACTAAAAATGATCTGGTGCGAGCAAGTGCACCAGAACGCAGAAGGGCAACCAATAGGGACAAGCCACACACGTGCTGAGAGTGTAACAGGCGCGTGAGGGCGCGTGGACGCGCCTGCCGGTAAGGGGAAGCGCGTGGAGGCGCGTGGGAGTAGTCTAGGGCTATGTGGCGGCGCGTGAAGGCGCGTGGGGATGCGTGTGAGGTCCTGGAAAGTTGCTTGAGACTCCGGTGAAGTTTCAGTATTTATCTTAAGCTTGTTAGGGTTAAAATTAATCATTAGAGGGTGTGTTCTTGATATTTTGAGAGCCTCAGAGTGTTACTAAGATACCTAGTAGCATTTAGTGGTATAAATATAATTAATTAAATATTTTTGCAATGAAAGGAGGTGTATATATGTGTATATATATGTAGATATGATTTTAAATAGTCAACGATTGGTATGGAATGTATGATACACACATATATATATATATTACAAAATATATGTGTATATATATATTATTTAAGATTATTAAATATTATAAATCTTGTTTGGTATGACTTGATTCGTGTATGGTATGGTTGATTTAAAATCGTAATAGATACACGGTTATTAAATTAAGGATATGCTTATTATATGCATGTGAAGTCTATATATAATTATACCTAGAGTTAAGTTTAAAATTAATACATGGTTGAATTGTAGGCATGGATGAGTTGCCAAAGGCTTTGATATACTGCCTTATTGGTTATGAATAAATTTCATATATGGGAAGCATGGTTGAATTGCTAATTAATTGTAAAAGTAAATATATTGAAGGAAGCATGGTTGAATTGCTAGTATATAAATAAATATATTTATAAATGGTATGGTTGATTTGGTGCATATTTAAATTGCTATATGTGTAGATGACTAAATTACTGTTTAGGATGGAGTTAAGGTGAGTGGGGTTTATTTTATGAGAAAATTATAAAAGGGGGGGCTTGGTCTAGGTATGACTAATAATTAATTATTGGTGAGTGGTTTTGACAATTTAATGCCCTGTTAAGCTTAATTAGGGATGGTTTTGGTAAAGATGATCTGTTTATTGGTTTTCAGAGGCTTGGTAGAGAGAACTTGCTCGTAGGGTTTAACCCGCGATTTATTTTTCAGGTTGTAGAAGGTCAAGTCTCAAGGTTGAGGATCCGCAGCTGGAGGACTTATCCATTCCTTCTATTTACTTAAAAGTAGGATATTAGTTTTGTTTCAGTTAATATTAGTACTTAATTGGTTGAAAGTCTAAATAGTAACTTTTGGTTAAGGGATCCTTGAGTTACGGGATTCCCGAGTTGTAACCATTTGGAAGTTATTAATGGATTTACTATTAATTGGATTTCTTCAGCGTTTTATTTTATTCTTTATTTCATTTTGTAATCCGTGCTTGTTTAAATACTTTAATTGGTTTGATATCCCCTGATTTTGTGCGCGGACTTGATCAACCCGTGTTCCGAAATTAGGGGGTATTACAATTATAGACAGGCTTGTCATGAATACCCAGTTGAGCCTAGACGATAAATTCCAATAATTCCTTTAGAGTTCCACACCTACCTGTGTAATTAGCAAGTAGAGAGAGAGACAAATTCATTCAGCTAGCTGAGACCTGAATCTGAAGAGGATGTGTGTGTATAAATTCATATGGGACCTGGTCAGGCAATGAAACAATCAGATTGGCAAGCCATAAACATTAAAAAAGGACTAATTAAGGTATTCTATTAGTTTAATATTATTATGTGAGGGTATTTAAGTAAATTTATAGAAACGGTTAGCAATACGTGTTAAAAAAGTTTGCTTTTTTTTTTTTTTTTTAAAGTAAGTCACAGTAATTTTTGAAATCTCTGTGATTATGACAATCGTAAATTAATATTAACAAAATTTGATTAAAAATGTCCCAACCAAATTTACCCTTTTTTTATCTTTTCTTTTCCCTCCTAGTTATCATTTCTTTTTCTAATTACTATTGAAATCTGGCTCCAAACACTGTGTTACCAAGCGTCTTACATATTCGAATAACTTCAATTCAAAATTTAAAACACATCGGAACTTGGAAGCACAAACATGCTTCGATCGCATACAGGTACTCTCTCTCCCTCTCCATCTCTATCTCTATCTCTATCGACTTATATTTCTATTTGCGTGGTATTGATACACTCAAACTCGTACGTTGATTTTTATCGATTTCCGTTTGTTTGTCATTTCTTTTTAGCTCGATTTTAGAAATTCTTCAAATCTTAGATTGATTAATTTTTGTTAAATTTGGTGGTTGTTTGTGATCGAAGAAGATTTGTCAAGATTTTGAAGAATTTCAAACACATCGGAACTCGTAAGCACAAACACGCTTCGATCGCGAGATACAGGTACTCTCTCTCCCTCTCTATCTCTATCTCTATCTCTATTGATTTATATTTCTATTTGCGTGGTATTATATTTCTATTTGCTAATTAATTATTCACGTCGATTTCCGTTTGTTAGTGATCCAAGAATTCATCATTCATCTCTTTTTAGCTCGATTTTAGAAATTCTTCAAATCTTAGATTGATTATTTTTTTTTGTTAAATTTGGTTTGGTTTGTGATCGAAAGAAGATTTGTCAAGATTTTGTGGTAATTCAGGTGAAATTGATCCACGTACGTTGATTTCTATTTCTTCCGTTTGTTAGTGTTCGATTAAGAATTCTATTCATTTCTGTTTAGCTAATGATTTTAGAAACTCAATAATTGTTGTTAAATGTTTGTGATTGAAGAAGATTTTGAGGTAATACTTTTTGTGATTTGGTATTAGAACCATATATTGAAGTTTAGTTTCTTTGTAGCATTTAATTGTGCAGATATGGGTGATTTGGATGAAGCTGAGGTTCTGCTTGATCCGCGGATATGGATCGAATGTGCGGGGGTTATGGCACGAGTGCCAGCAGTCGGATCGCATGTTTGTTACTTTGTGGAAGGGCATGCTGAAAATGTGGGTTTTCAGACTCGTGGTCTACCTCACTCCATGGTCCGTTGCAGAGTTATTGATGTGAGACTTCTGTCAAATTCAGAAGAGGTACTTGCTAAAATTCATCTGTTTCCTGTTAATGACGAAGTTGTCAATGATGAGGGCGGAAACATGATCTTTGATGCTGAAGATAGACTTTTGTCAGCAGCAAAAGTTTTAAGCAATAGTGATGTAACATCTAAGTTTACAGTGACACAACACTGTATTAATCACATATTTCCGAAATTAGTCCCCCCAGAGACTTCTCAGATGATACCTACACACGATGTCCATGGTAGAAGCTGGGTATGGAGGCATACATGTAAGTCAAAAGGAAATAAAGGAGGTTTTAACTAGTTAACCAACTGGAAGAAATTTGTGACCACAAAAAACCTCAAAAAAGGGGATACAATAGTATTCATGAAGGAGGCTAATAATGCCATAACTGTCGGAATAGCTAGAAAGCGCAGCAGTGCATTGAGGGCTCAAAATGTTAGAGATGGATTCATAATGGCTATGGATGGGCAACCATTTGAGGTTGCATATTACCCACGGTCATTTGGTCCACAGTATTGTGTGCCAGCGTCACTTTTCACTGCAGCATTTGATGTTGATTGGAAGGTAGTCACGAGGTTCAAAATGAAGTTTGAATCTGAGGATTCTACAGATTTTAAATGGTTCAAGGGGACTGTGACCTCTGTTGACTATTCTGCATCTCGAGTTTGGAAATGTATGGAGGTTAGTAAAATAAGTCTTCTGTCTTTTAATATGCAACTGAGTTGTTTTGCCTTTAGTAAATTAAGTTTGCTAGTCATTATGTTGGATTCACTGGATGTACAGGTTATATGGGACGATCCAAGCCGGACAGAAGACTGTGTGAATCCCTGGGATGTCGAGCCAATATTTCCCCCACCAAATATGCCAGGCCCAGTAAGTTCCATCAATTTGCCAGGACTAGACAGTTCCAAAAAATCTGATAGTCCTCGGAAAGTTTTTGGTGTAAAGTTGAATTCTGAGGAGCAGATATGGCATGGTCAATTATCTGGGTGCCAAAGGCAGGAAGAAGGTAAGGTGATTAGAACTTGGAGGAAAAAAAAGGGTCATTTGTGAGTCACTGTAAATTATCATGAAGCATTGTTGTTGACCATATTATAATTCTTATAAATAGAACACTATTTTTTTGTCGCATATCCTTGTCGTGTCTGTGTCCTGCCTTTTTTGAGATTTGAGGTGTAGACATGTTTGTTTCTTGTCATATCTCTGTCCTTTTCCTTGCCCATTCTTCATAACTCCTTGCTCTCACTGCTCTTACTATGCTTAAGCATATGTTTGCCTTTTCAGAGTTTAAACTGACACATTTTTATTTCCTGCCTTTTTTTTCTTCAGGAACTCATGAGGCCCTTGAATTAAGAGAGGGAGGATCAGGCTACATTGGGAAAGGTGTTTCAAAGGTTAGTTATCTACCTTGCAATAGAGACTGTTATTTAAATATATTTTTTGTGTTGATCCTTCTCTTCCTCTACATATATGCAGGCTCTTCAGAATTTAAACAAAAATATAGGCCCTGCTCTCATTGGCAAGGTTGGTTGCATCCACGGGCCCTTTCTATATCTTTGATAGAAGTAATGTATGGTTTTTATTGCTTTCAGCAATAAATGAAGGCACTGGCAAAGTGCTTCACGTTTGCCACTTATTAGACATATAATTAAATAGAATGGTTACTATTTTAGTGAGCTGATGAATTATATATTGCTTAACCTCTAATTTAAAATAATGTGAGAATGATTCTATTGTGCATATTGCCATTAGACACTTTCACATTATTGGAGAGCTAATTCCTGCTCTTGGGCTTTATGCTTTTTACTAACTCCCCTACTATTGGAAATGATGTTGCTGCTTCAAAATTTCATGGAACAGATAAGACTTGTGATCTGAACTTCATGGATGAAGTGGGTTTTCTATTTTGTTTTGTGCTTATCTAAATTCAACTATAAATTTGAAGTTTGGAGCCAGAACCGAGTAATTATCTGGTCAAAATTCTGAGCAGGCCCCTTGTAAGCTCAAGCCTTTGCTTGAAAACAGTCCTGTAGTTAAACAAACTTATAGCCAGGATGAATCTCTCTTCTAGTTAAACAAACATATCACCAGGATGGTTCATTTGGTGAACAATTGGAACAGCCAATCAACAAAAATAATGGTGATTTTTTTTTTTTTTTTGGTGGATAGAGCAAATAGAACGTATATTTAGTGATATGTGTTTTCTTGTTTCTGTTGCTTCTTCTGTGCACAGAACAATGATGGCCCTCAAAAGATCTTAGGAGAGCAACTCAAAGATCTGTACAAGTCATTTGTGACTCAGAAGCAGTCTCACGGAGTTGTACTGTCTGATACAAGAAGCCAGTTCTTGGCTGTTGGCAATGAGTCCGTAATCAAATTCTGGGACATGGATAGTGTTAACCGCCTGATGAATACTGATGCGGAGGGTGGATTACTGGTAAGAAAGAAATCGGGTTTCTTCTGGATCTCTTGTCATTCCTGAAAAACTTTTTGATATGAAGTAACAATCTCGTCTTGTCTTGAATATCTTTCAGGCTTCTCGTTGCATTCTGTTCAATAAGGATGGTATTCTACTGGCTGTCTCAGCAAGTGAGAATGGTGTTAAAATACTTGCAAATGCCAATGGTGTTCGGCTTATGCGATCCATTGAAAATCGTTCACTGGATGCTTCTAGAGTTAATACTGGAACTGTTGCTAAGGTAAAATTTGTTTATAGGTTCTCCTAATAGTTCTAACAGGAACATGCTTGTTTTACATGCATTATTTGTTTGCAGGGCGCCATAAGTTGCACATTTGGTACTCTTAGTTCAGCTGCTGGAACAAGCATTGGTGTTGCAGATAGAAGTGCACAGGGGACGGCTATGGTTGCGCTGGTAAGCATGGATGCCCCAGTCATGCGGATGAGTGGGGTATTTCTTTGAGAAAACTGCATTTTTTTTTTTTCCATTTAATTGTTGCGTGTGTATTCATTATAGATGTTGAAATCATTCCATGCACGTGTATGTGATTTGATGCATTTGAATTATTGAATGGACAAAAATTTACTATTGCACAGTGTTTGACAATTAGTTTTCTGAATTTTCTGCAGAATGGGGATTGTAGAAGTCTGTCAGATGTGAAACCTAGAATTACAGATGAGATAGAAAAATCTAAGTTCTGGAAACTGACAGAAATCAAAGACCCATCTCAACTTTGTTTCCCTGACAGCTTATTGTCAGTAAGGGTATGTGCCTGTTTTGTTTTTTGCACTAAGTTCGTTCCTTTTTTTTTTTTTTTTTTTTTTCCTTAATTTTTTATCCTTATTGGAACCCAGTGTTGAGATTGGTTTTTGACTACCTTGCTTTCTATTTTTTGATGATTGGGCCAGTAACTATGTTCCTTTATTGCCGCAGAAAAGATACTAGCTTTACATTTTTTATGCAATTGTCTTAGCTGATGACTTGCGCATACAGAAAGGTCATTGTAAATTCATATTTTAAAGTGGTATTTGATACATATAAATAACCACCCTCTCCCCACCCCTCTCCCACGTGGTGGGGAGTTGGGGAACATGTGTAACCAAGGCCCTAAAATGCCGAGACAAGGATTTTGGGGTTAAGGTGAAAGCTCTTGATGCATTTTGGTCCACAGAGAATTTTAAGGCCAGGCTGGAACATAAACTAGTGCATTCCTGATTTCAGCTTACCAGTTATAGAAGCAACACCAATAAGCTTGGCAACCTATCCACGAACTTTTACGAATGTTGTACTTCCACAATGCATTCAGCTGTCCTATTACAGCCAAAAGCAAATTCCTTCATGATAGTTGTCAAATTTTTTTCCTAAAATGATAGTTGTCAAATTAATTGTTTCTATCTTGATGCTACAGAAAATCCCCCCTCCTGAGCGCAGTATGTATTCGCAATACCCTTGGTATGGGTAAAATGTTGCTGAAGTCAACTAATTTTACTGTGCTAATATGGAGATGTTATTCTCTTGTTCTTTATTGCTACAAAATTGATGTGGTTTTCAATTGTCAGTTTGAAAGAATACATCAAATGTTTGGTATTTGTTCTGGCTGGTTTTGTGCTATTTGTAGTTCAAAAGACATGAGAATATACATATGATACAAAAGCACTTCACAGAGAAATGATGATGGGAAAAAAAAAAATCAATTTTTAACTTTTTTGAGAAGATATCATTTTACAATTTATTTACTGGTATTCTAAGGTTGAAAGAAGCATTTTAGGATTCTCTTTCACTTATTCTTTCCGTATTGAATTTACAAGCCTTGTCCCAACCATTTGAGGACAGTTTTATGAGTTCTGTTTTGCCGTTTTACTTTGTCTTGGCCAATTCCTTCGTTAAATCACATGCTTAGATGTGTTTTCTTACTACTCAACCTATATACAAAATTTGGTATTTCCCTTCTTCTAGCATTCCCAATGTTGATTGTCATTCTTTTCATGTGAAGAAAAAAGTGAAAATGGTTTTATTAGGTTGTCTCAGAATCTAATGCCATTTTGTGAAGTAGTCTTACTTTAGATGGAGATTAGCTCCCTTTGACTATTTCAAGGCACATGGAGAATGCCCTTTATGGTGAAATCGTAAGACTCTAGTATGTATTTAAGAACTATGGACAGCATGGTTATTAACCAGATTTAAAATATGTAGTTTATTTATTAATATAATTATTTGATAGATTTAGAAAATAGAAGTGGAAACTTGGGTTACCTGTTATTTTGTGTATCTTACCAGTAATAGTTTTATGCCCCATATTTTTATTCTTCGTTTTGTTTATGTGATTTCAAGTGTATCTCCTGGGACACAATTTGGTTCAAAATATTCCGTTTCTGTTGTCTGAAATTTTTATTAATGGGTTGATGTGGTTCCAAAGGATTAAAGTTTTTCACGTTGCAATTTATTACCTACGTACTGATACAATGAAGACCTATAGATGCTCTAGTAATAAGAGGATGATTAGTTTTCATAGAAGATAAGAGACAGAGATTGCTTCCAAAATTAACGTGGGATGACGTTTTCAGATATGAATTTAAGAAGTTAAATATAATAGAAGAGAGATGGCGTGTAATATTATAGAATGGGAAAAGATAATTTATGTGGCCGATATAATGATTAATTTATTCTCGACATGTGTTGTGTGTGTGGCGTATGTGACTGTGAAGTAACTTCCAGTTAAGAATTTTATGAAACAAATTATGAGTATGTACTTTATACGTCCTATCCTTTAATGAAGTGGGTTCTCTTGTCATAAATCTTTCCCGTGTCTCGTGTGCTGACCATTTTTGTTATCTATTCCTTACTGGTTTTCTCGAATTATGCACTTTTCGAGTGTGCATGAATACATTGAGTGTAATGAAGATTTGTGCTCAATGTGTATTGTCCACAGAGGGTTGAGAAGGCAATGAAGGAGAAAAGTTGCAATGCACTTCTTCTGAAGGTATCATTCGAGTCTCTGGCACACTAAATTTAATTGTTCAGGACCACCTATTTGAAACATCATTATTTTACTTGCTTGGATAAAAAGGTGAATCGAATTGGATCTGAAGCTGAAAAAATATCCAAGCAAGTTGGTTGGGGTGTTATGGCTCGACATCACAGGTTTGATGTTGACCTTAAGCACCGTGAATACATTTCGTTGAACCTAAAATTGAAGTTCAAGGTGCCAATATAGTTTATTTTATTTTGTTGCAGTGGAGAGACAGAAGATACTTTCATTGCTGACCTCCGTTGGTTTGTCAATGGTAATTATATATCTAAAATTTAATTTTATCATATCAATAGATTTTCATTTAACTCTGCGGTGCAGATATTTGTTTATTCATGAATTTTTGCTTTCTTAGGGACAGGAGCTCCATGCAGGTCAGAGCGGCTTGCTAAGAACAATCAGGTTGGAATTTTGACCATTTTCAAGTGCATCAACTTTGTTTTATTGCACAATGACTTTTTAACTTCACTCATGCTATGTTTGAGAGTACTTAATTGGTTGGCCTAGATTTGCTTCCGATCCCAAATCCAAAGCACTGATTCGGAGCTCCCAAACACAACATTAATGTATTTTAGATGGTCATTGTGATTTGTTAAGCATTCTGATCTCGTCTTGTGTGCAGCACATGCCAAACGAAGAGGATACCGTCTCAGAATCAAATTATGCAGGAACAAGTTTTTGCACGCCTGTTGAACCCTATTAGATTCGGAGAATAATGAGCTGGAGACAAAATGTACTGTGGGATTTCAGCATGGAGTTTCACCCGCGCAGTGAAATGGGTCAGTCAAAATAAGACCTGAGAGAGACTTGTTAGAACAATTACAGCATAAATGTTTTGTTCAGATAACCAAGTGTTTTTAGTTAGCACCTGTTTTCTAGAGTCAAGCTCTAATGATCTGTTTTGGGTAATTTACGAACACTCCTTGAAGTTTGCCCTTATTACCCCCTGCGCATTTGGTTTGTCTTACCCAAACACCAGTAGCCCTACTGTCTACTGTACATGATTGCAAATGTTTTCACCGGTCTAACACCATGTAAAATGACCTGCATATCCTTTGATTTTATCAGATGACTATCATTCAACCCTACAGAATTATATTTTTACGTCTTTATCATTTCTTTCTCTCTCTACTACTCTTGGTATACATGTACACACAATATATATTTTCTTCATATTCTGTGTACATTTCAATTGGGTTTTCATCTATATACACAGACCATGGTATACTTTTCCAATTGGGTTTTCCAGTATATATTTTCTTCATATTCTGTACATTTCAATTGGGTTTTCATCTATATACACAGACCAGGTATACTTTTCCAATTGGGTTTTCAACAGTGTTTACATTTCAATTGGGTTTTATAAACACGGACCATGGTATAGTTTTCCGATTGGGTTTTCAACAGTGTTAACATTTCAATTGGGTTTTATATAGACAGAACATCATGTTATGTGTGTGTATATATGTGTGTGTATATATATATATATATATATACACTTTTTTTTTCCCCGAAAGTTTAAGCAAATTGTATAAATAAAAGAGCAGTACCCGAAGGCCTTCGGCCAAAACAACCCATCAACTGGGAAACAAGCTGAAAGGCAACCCAAAAGAACCCAAACCCCAAACAAAGAGTACAGACTGCTGTACAGCCATGTGACCCATACAACGGGTCCAACCCATCAATTGCATAATTAATGTTTTTCATCATGATCTGTGTATATGAAAACTTTTTTAAATTGGGTTTACATTTCCAGACATTATAACATTTCCCTGATATTATAACAGGGAACCGGTATAGACTGATGAAATACCAGAATGCTGTAGAAATTAATCCAATTCTGGTATTAATACACAGAGTCACAGACCATCTTTGGGTAAAGAAATTAAACAAGCTCTAACATAAATGCAAGATCGGGGAAAAGGGTTCAGTAAAGAAGACGGTGAAGAATACGCTCTAATGGAAAGCAAAACCAAAAGTTAAAAGAAAGGATGAAAGATTGGATTTTTTTTTCCCAAAATGGGCTAGTTTACATATACCCTGTTACGAGTGGAGTGAAGTGAGAAGGATTTGTGATCTACAGATTAGTTCAACTGGGGAAATGAGAAAGACCACGAAAGGGAAGTGGGGTTTCATTGCAATTGCCTTAGAAATAAGAGGAGAGAAGAATCTATGATTATGGTAAAAGAAGATAAGGAAGTGGCCGAGACTAATGCGGTAGGAAGAAAGGAAGAGTTGCGGAGAGAAAATCGGAAGGAAGGAAGAACTTCGTTTGTCTGTTAGAGATGTTACAAGGGAAAATAATAATAATAATAAAAAGAAAGATGACTCATTATTTTTCTTTTACAAATTTTAATCCAACCAAAAATGAGTTTTGTTGGGTAGAAGACAGAAGGAAAGAAGTGGACTATTATGAAAATTTTAATTGGTAAACGATTGATGTATAATTTAAATACCCTTGGATAGGGGAAGATTGTTAAAGTAACGCGCTATTTCATAAGATTGAGATAGGCTCTATAGACTAAGATAAGATTGAGATAGGCTCTATAGACTAAGATAAGGATTACAACTAAGATAAGGATTACAGATTACGATAAGGATTACAGACATTATAGATTACGATAAGGATTACAGAATACGATAAGGATTAGGCCTACAGATTATGATAAGGATTAAGACGACGGGAACTCTACGTAACATCATGACCTAAGCCCTATAAATAGAGGGGGCTAATCGACGTTTTGAGGTACGCAATAAATCTTAATTCAATTTCTTGATTTCTCCCGAAAGATTATTTTTTCACACTTATTCGTTGGAGCCTACTCCACCGGTAACACACCGGTGTTTGTAGAATTACCTTTTCTTTTCTTCATTCAGGAAGTCAGATCAGATGCGAGTTGCGCAGAATCCATCATCAACAGTTGGCGCCGTATGTGGGAACATATTTTTGTTCTCTAAACAAAGCATGGTTCGATTACGATCTGGTCTGGTTGTTGGCGAGGACGAAGCGTTGCAGGCTTCTGATGAAGGGGACTCAAACGATCAGGAACGCGTCGCAACATTGGAACAACAGGTTCAAACCTTAGTCTAACAAAATGCGATGATTCTACAACGCTTAGCCGCCCCCAACGAGGAGAGAAACAGTGAAGTACCCAACAATGACTCCCGTAGGGTTAACAACGATTTTGAGCTTAGACAAATAGGGGGTCAACAGAGGAGCCATCACCATCGGTCCCCTGAACGGAATACCACTAGGCTCCATGGAGATACTTCTAGTTATGTTGGTGATAAGACTGAGGACGTCACTCATTTCAATCTAGAGATTCAGGATCTGAAAGCTAGAGTTGACGATGTCATGCAAGCGATGAAAGGGAAGGCGCAGACTGTAGTGAATGACATGGTACAGAAAACCAACCTAGCTTTTAGCCCAGAGGTTATGAGTTGTCCTCTACTTAGCAAATTCAAGATGCCAACTCTTGAGAGCTTCGATGGGACGCGGGACTTTCTCGACCATTTGGAGACCTACAAAGCTCTTATGTATTTACAAGCTGTACTAGACAAGATTATGTGTAGGGCTTTCCCTACCACACTAAAGGGTTGGGCTCGTCTCTAGTTCAATAAATTAAAACCAGGCTCCATTGAAAACTTTGAATAGTTGAGCAAACAATTCATAAGACACTTCATCGTTGGGCAGAGGCATAGGAAACCAGCAACACATTTACTGAATGTGAAGCAGCATAAGGGAGAGCCTCTCCGTGATTACATAAGTCGTTTTAACACTGAAATGCTGCAGGTAGAAGAGGTGGACGACAAGGTTGCCTTCACAGCCTTTATGGGAGGATTACAGACCTCTAAGTTCCTATTTTCTTTGTCAAATGAAGCCCTTACGAGCATGACAGAGTTAATGGTTAGAGCGCAGAAGCACATGAACACTGAGGGTGCTATGAATGCATGAAAAAACAAATATGGTGAAGATGAGAGGTCGGATAAAAAGAGACCAACACCTAGCATTAGGGAGGAAAGGGAATCGAAGTACAAGAAAATCTTAAACAGCCAGGCTGATAGATCGTCTCGCCGTCCAATAAGCCCAGGCAGGTATAATAACTACACCCCCCTCCCCCCCAAATACATCTGGAAAGCAGGTCTTTCTGCAGATTCAAGATGACGCATCATTGAAATGGCCGCTAAAGCTAAAAGCTGATCCAACAAAGAGGTCTCGAGATAAATACTGTAGGTTCCACTAGGACCATGGACATAACACAGAAGATTGTTTCGACCTTAAAAACAAGATCGAGAATCTTGTTTGTTAGGGTCATTTACGTAAATTTACGACTGGGAATAGAAAATGAGGCTCCAACCCAGCCCGAGAGGGCCGAGATAATCGCCTTCCTCAACACCAACCAATGGGTGAGATAAGAGTTATATCAGGTGGCTTCGCTGGTAGTGGGGAGACGAGTTCGGCTCGGAGGGCTCATGTCAGGAGAGTTCGGAGTTTTTTAGAGGTGAATGAAGTTAGAGTGACAAGTCCTCCAACAAAATTACCGTGAGTTGAGGAGCCAGTCATAACCTTTTCTGAAGAAGATGACAAGGGAATTCACTAGCCCTATGATGACCCTCTGGTAGTTTCCATGGTCGTCGCTAATTTCACTGTTCGACGAATACTGATAGACAATGGAAGCTCGGCTGACATACTATTTATTGGGGTGTACGACAAATTAAAATTGGCCGAGAGAAGCTTCGACCCATGAAGTCACCACTGGTGGGATTTTTAGGCGACAAAGTATATCCATTGGGGGCAGTTACCCTTCCAGTCACTGCAGGAGCCAATTCAAAGTAGGTCACTGTAATGGTGGACTTTGTAGTGGTGGACTGCCCATCATCATACAACATTATCCTAGGGAGGACAACATTGAATGCCATGAAAGCAATCACTTCCACTTACCATCTCCTGATGCGTTTCCCAACTGAATATGGTATGGGAGAGCTAAGAGGGGACCAAACAATGGCTCGAGAATGTTATGTCGCCTCTCTCAGAAAAAAAAAAATCGCAAGAGGCACTTATGATTGAAGGGCTGGAAGGGAGAGGTAACCCAGACTTTCACAAAGCGGAACCTTCAGAGGAGCTAGAAAAAGTCATCCTTGGGGATGGTGAGCTCGAGAAGAAAGTGAGTATAGGGTCTTTACTCCCCCCAGGTATCAAAGATGAACTTACTCAATTCCTCAGGAAGAGTCGAGACATATTTACATGGGCGCATGAAGACATACCGGGTATAGACCCCACTATCATGGAGCACCGCCTAAATGTAAATCCTAACTTCAAACCTATCAAACAAAAGAGGAGGACTTTCGCTCCAGAGAGGAATCAGGCTATATCAGAAGAGGTGGAAAGCTCTTAAAAGCCGACTTTATTCAAGAGGTGTACTACCCCGACTAGCTGGCAAATATGGTCCTAGTGAAGAAGGCAAATGAAAAGTGGAGGCTATGTGTGCATTTCACCGACTTTAACAAAGTTTGCCCGAATGACAGTTTTCCTCTCCCAAGAATCGATATGCTTGTTGAGGGAACGGCTGGACACGAACTACTAAGTTTCATGGATGCATATCGTTGTAATGCCTTTTGGGCTTAAGAACGCTGGTGCAACGTACCAGAGGCTAGTGAATGCAATGTTTAAGCACCAAATTGGTAGAAACATGGAGGTATATGTTGATGACATGTTGGTGAAAAGCTTAAAAGCTGAAGACCATTTGATTGACCTGCAGGAGACCTTCAAGGTACTTAGGAGGCATAAGATGAAACTCAACCCCAGCAAGTGTGCCTTTGGGGTTTCCTCAGGAAAGTTCTTGGGATATATGGTAAGTAGAAGAAGAATTGAGGTCAATCTAGAGAAGATCCAAGCAGTCATTGACATGAGATCGCCAAGATCAACCAAGGATCTACAACGACTAACAGGGAAGATTACTGCCTTTAGTAGGCTAATCTCTCGGTCAACTGACAGGTGTCTACCTTTCTTTCGTGTGCTAAGGAAGGCTTTTGAATGGACCCCAGAGTATGAGTAGGCGTTCAAAGAACTAAAGCAGTACCTTAGTTTTCCTTCATTACTGTCTCGAACCATACCGGGAGATGAACTATACATATACCTTGTAGTCTCCACGATAGCTGTCAGTTCAGCTCTGATACGAGAAGAAGAAGGGGTCCAAAGGCCAGTATACTTCGTGAGCAGATCACTTAGGGGTCCAGAGGAAAGATATCCAAGGATGGAACAGT